ACTGTATATATATGCGATTAATATATATATTGTATGTACTCTTCCCAGTTTCCTCTTCTTGTGTTGTGTTGTAATTACAAATTTAAATAATAAAAAAAACACTTTTACTTGAAAACAAAATACATTTTACTTGACTTCTGAATTCAAGGAGCAGCATTTGCTGAGAAGAGGTGGATCTTTCGGCCCCCAAAGCAGAGGCTCAAATTTGTCCCGGACATCAATGCTCTGACCGCTTTCCATCTTCGTCCTCTCTTTTTCACTAAAGGAAGATGCCAGTCGGTTTGTGAGTTTATGAACCTCATTCACAATAGCCTTAACATCCGCTTGGTCCTGAGAGGCTTTCCACGTAGCCTCATTAAAAGGAAACGTCAGTATGAAGTCCCCAACGCGACAAGGAGGGATGCCTCTGTCTTGAGTCATGCTGTTCCATGGGACGGCTGGAGATTTGAGTTTATGTACGTGAAGAGATGGTAACTTGCATACGGTAGATGGTGCATTTCTGTGCGATTGCCTCATGCTGTTAAATGTTGTGAGTTTCAGGCCATCGGATTCCACCTCGTCGTTAATGTCCTCAAACTTCTGAGGAGCCTTTTCATGTCCAATAGATTTCGAATTGGAGTGAATGGGCCAAGTAACATAACCGATGTCATTACTAGCACAAACATTTACAGAAGTGTCTTGAGAACTTGAAGAGTTTGAGATAGACTGATTCCTGTTTTTGTTGCCTAACGGAGTTGCATGTAAAGTCTTGGGCAACAAAAACCCTTGAGAGATTTTTGGCCGTAAATACCGGCTACCCGATCTCTGCCTGCAGTATCCCTTCTGTCTGTAACGATCAACCATCCTGTAGTTCATCAGGTCAATGATATCACTGATCAGCCCTTTCTTGACACTTACGTCAGCAGGGCAGTCCAATGGAAGTGCAGGACTGTAGTTGACCTCTAGAAGCCACGGTTTGTAGCTGGCGTCAATGAGGATGTCAAACCCCAACAGTTCTAGACAGTTGGGGTTGGAAGGAACGCAAGGAACGGCTGTGAGTAGAGTCAACGTAACGATATTGCTGATCCTGTGCCACAGCAGAAGTTCGTTGATATCTTGTTTGTGAAGAAAACTGCGGAATCTGCTCATGGTCCACTTGCATCCTCGACCCACTCGCTCTTTGTCCGTGGCGTAGCACATTCCAAACTTATTAATGCTGGTATTCGTCAAATGAGAGTACAGGCTCTCTAAAGAAGCAAGGGTGTACTTTTCTGTCGC